TTTAACAAACTTTGAATTTTTATTATCACTCATTTTAAGAAGAAAAAACTCAACTCACTCATTTTTTTAAACAAACATACATTCGATCTCTTCCTTTTATCATTCGCTAGTGAATTCACACTTGGAATTTCATTAATTTTTTAATATCTAGCTCATGAATAGTTGCTCTATAAACTTAAATACTAACCGTTCATTTTTCTATAACAAAAACTCTTTTATAGAGTCAAGCTTCTCTTGAAGATGAGTTTTTTCAAAATTTAAAACTCTTTAAAATAAAGTTTTAGGGGATTTACAGTTTTATGTGGAGATGCTTTAAATGAAGCTGGGAAGGAAATTCTTGTAAATGACCCAAACCATCTCTAGTGTTCATTATTATCTTCTCCCCAAAGTTCTTATTCTGAGCTTCCAATTTTGTGCAAGTTTTCTTGGGTAAAATTGATGACAAATGTCGAATTCATTGGAAACCTTGGGAGTTGATGTGTAGGCTAAATAGTGGAGAAATTTTGTATGCAAGACGTCTTTATATATCAAGTATTATAATACAATTAGTTGAATATTTTTTTTTTCAAGTTTTCAATAATTATATTTTTATACTTGATGTATCAGATCGTATTTTCAACTAAAATATCCCACAACCACATATCATAATAAAAGTCAAGGGACATATATGGAAAAATCTCTCCCAATCATGATGTCTTTTTCCAATGCAGCAGCTTTTAGGTTCTTAATATAACATCTCTCACAAATGAATTATGATGCCATCTATTATAAGTTCGATGGAAAGAGGTTCTCTCAGGATTCCTTCCTTTTAATTCATCAAGTTTGAGAATTTAGATCGTTGATTTTTGATTTAATGGTTAAAGTTGTTATAATTTTTAAAGTGAGTCCCTGTTTATAATCATTGGATTAAATTTTAACGGCTCAGATCCTTGTATTTGATGGATTAGGAGGAAGGGATCCATAGAGGATCCCTTTCCAAGTTCGATGACCCAAAGAGCAAGTTTTTTCTGATTTTAAGGATTCCGCTCTAGCAACAAAGAAGAAAGCAATTTCTATTGTTTAACTTGGCTAGTTTCGCATTTGAATGAATTTTTGTAAGGATAATTTTTAGGGAGTTTTAACGAAAAGTTCACGGTACTGTTCACTTTAACGAAAAACCACATTTTTACACTAAAAAGTCAAACATGGTACTATTTATTTTACCCTTTATTTTGTCCTTATCATTAAAACTCAAAGTTTTCAAACCCTTTTCATTAGTTTACTTAATTTTTAACGAAAGAGCTAGACGGTTGAGGTGATGGAAGTACACTGTTAAAGTAGGCTCTATACGGGTGTCAGTTAATATTATGAAAAAGGTTTTTGGGTAGGGTTGAGATATTAAACGCGAGGCATGAGGTATGATGCATGCCATGAGAGGTACAGGTTGATACCTATATGATAATGATATGATTCTTGTGTACAAAGGCCAGGCCAGGCAGGCAAGGCATGTCTGAACACATTGGTGCTTTAGCTTTCCCCCATGCTAATAATCATAGACATTGGGAGGGAGGTAACCATGATTACAATCATTTGGGTAGCTTTTTAGCTTTATATATATATATGATATAATGACACATCCCGACCTGGAATGTCTAGTAGAACTCCAAATCGAGCTGTGCTGGTCGACATCTGAAAAGTGATGAAGCCATAAAATGTGATGATGTGGAAAAATTATGAATAAATTTAAACCTAAGAGTGCCTAAATACCAGAGTGCACTGGTGAACGGGAATAAACTCACTTCACACGTGATGTTAGAGCATAAGTAAGTACATAAGAGTGAATTAAGAATCGTACCCTCGAAATAATCTCCAATACTAAGAATCACCACGAATCTTCGACGATAAAAAAGCTCAGCTGATAAAACCTGGAGGGTGAAGACAAGACATGGGTGAGTGGCCTTGTAAGTAAGATTTTAATAGAAACCATATAAAACATTATAACCTCTCGCTGCAACCCCTGTATAATTTCCAGAAAATCATAATATACCACAACACAGCATCTCATCAGTAATATCAAATAATCATGCGATTAATAACTCATACTAGTACGCAAGTCGGAGTCACCTAGGGTGACATGTACGACTTACCCATATCTCATCACATATATTAGTTCATCATTTATTTCCTCACATATGCTAGTTCATCACATATTTCATCACATATACTAGCTCATCACATATCTTATCACATATGCTAGCTCATAAGTTGGGAGTCACCTTTCACATATAGTGACCTATACGACATATTCATATCTCATCAATCAATCTAGCCGGAGTCACATATAGTGACCTATACGGCATTACGCCTGCACACGAGTCGGAACCACTGTAATGGTCTGTACGACAAGACTGGGTGTAAATGAATACGCTCAAGTGATACGATCACGTGAAAAGTCACCTACGAGTCAGAATCACCTATAGTGGTCTGTACAACAAGCATGTGCACTTACCTTGAATTCAAGGTGAGCGTATGGTGCAAGAGGTGAACATTACGTGAAAGATTGTGCCCTGGCCACGGACGGGAGTACTAACACCGAGGTGTAGGTTTATGAGCTTTAAATGCATATAATACAATATGTACGACTCATAAGCAACCTGTACGACAATGCCGGAGTTGCCTACTATTGCAACCTGTACGACAGTATCGGAGTTACTTTCAAGAGTAATCATCGATAAGCCTAATTAGACACTAGCTAAATTAACTATCAATTAATTCCCTTTCCTTACTTCAATTTCTTGATTATTCATGCAATGATTTATGATCGACATTTAACCACTAAAACATAGGGTCAAATCTTATAATCTTTCCACCAATGTCCCTCAAACTGCTCAATTTCCCAAACTAGATTATTGTCTCGATTATTCATTCTCATTTATTATATGGTTGCATCTAACATCTTGTTAGACTGCATACGTACCCTAAACAGGGATCAAGCCATTCGTAGTTCGCAATAGTATTTCAAAGCATTCACAATAATCATAAGCAATAATCATTTCATAAACATTTATGGAATTGTCAATCATACATATATATAACCCACTCACCTGAGGTCCGCGCTACGACTCCCTAGTATGCATACCGAGACATCACGAACCATCGTCGCCTACGACCAATTATCAAATCACATCTCAGAATTCTGACCAATACAAATACATAATTTACATAAAACACACCCTAAGATTTGATATGGAAGATCCGCATTACGGATCTCCGATCCGTAAATTCTTAAGATCCACATTATGCTTCTAGAACAACATCCTAAACTTTCATTACGATGCAAAGGTCGGATTTCCGTCAATTGCCCAAAACTAAGTGACGGTTAACATTTATTTTATAAACTTACAAATCCAATTCGGGAAGATCCGTACGTCGGATTCCTGATCCGTAAGTTCCTATGATCCTCAAATATTATGCACTATAATGTATTAAAGTTTGGTGACGGTCAAATGGTCGGATCGTCAATTCATATAACGACCTATTAACATAACGTAGAGAATTTAGATTCCAACAATCAACCTACGTCATATAACTACCAAAACTGAACTCAAGGCATCTAATTAGCCTAAGAATAACATTGACGGCACCTTGGCCACGCGCCGCCGCACCAGCCACCGCGGATGGCGGTCGGCCGTTCCGGCTCGCCGGAAAATTCAACTATTTCTAAAAATTCTCAAAAATTATAGAAATGAAGATCTCAAAGAGTAGAGCAAACTTTATACCTGCGGCCAAGACCAATTTGGCCGGGAAACACCTCAATTACACAAAAAACCGTCGGAAACCCTGTAAAAGGTGTGCCTTGATTCGTCCTCAATTCAAGTCCGACGCTCCAACCATTGATTGTCCATTGTTCTAGGCCTCAAGGGGAGTTGGTTGATGGTGGGAATTGACGGGAAGAGTTGTAGAAAATGGCGAATCACCGTTGGGTGTCCTCGGAGTTGCCACCGTCATATCCCACAAAACAGGGCCAAATCCCGTCCAATTTGTGTAGGAAATCGAAGAAGAAGGACCAAGAAGTAGTTCCCCGGTGTTGGCCTGGTGCAATTCGTCGAAATTTGACCGGAGAAAGCCCTGGATTTCATGTATTCCCGCCAGGTCCAGTTTTAAAGGAGAAACGGATCGAGGGGGACTCAGGTAGTCTACCCCTTTCCCTCCATCCTTTCCCTCTCGTCTCTCCCTCTTATTCGTCTCATCTCTCTTTCTCCTTTTCTCTGATTCGTCCCTTGTTCTTTCTCCTTCTCTCTGATTCGTCCCTTGTTCATCTTTTTCTCCCTCTCCACTTTGCTGCCATCAGGCAGCCTTCCTCTTCCTCTTTAAAATAATTAATTGATAAATAATATCAACATTATAAAATATATATAAAATATAATTAGTGACTAAGACAAAAGTACTTCTCGAGTTTACAGTTCTATAATGTCGAGTACTTTAGGAAAACACTAAAGAATTAATTCGTACACCTCATTATACGCTGATCAATGAAAGTCAATACCCCCGCCTCTAAGGGCATTTTCGTAAAATCACGCTTTTAAAATTAATATAAATGTAAAATTTGGGACGGGTTGTCACATATAAGATTTATTCGCATTTTTTTCTTTACTTTATGCATGCTATTGTTTATATGACATGAATTATCATATCATAACAACCAAATCAAAGTGGTATATTGTCATTACTATACTACTATACTAACCGAATAATTTGATATATCAAAATTTGGTGTATCAAAAGTTTGACACAGCAATGTATTTTGAGATACCAAAAATTTAGTATGGTAATTGATATTAAAATTTTAGTATGATAACTGTACCAACCCAATCCTAATTTAAATACATCCAGTGGTTCTCATGTGATTTTTTTAATTCAAAAGTAAAAAATAAACACGAAGTATCAGGAAGAGAAAAAGAATTCGTGAAAAATCACAAACCAAAATGATTTTCTTTGAAAGTTATGAAGGGGAGCTTTAGTAGTTACATCATGATTCATAAAGCAAAGAGATTTTGAATTTTGAAACTCTCTCTCTCTCTCTGGAGGAGTCAGGCCTGCCAAGTTGCCAAGAAAAAGAGGTAATAAAGAAATGGAGTAAAGAAAAAGGAGCACATTGCCATCTCTATCTTCTCCATCTTTGGATCAGAAATTGGAGCAAAAGCAGCTGCAGGGTCCTCCACATTATTCTCATCAACCCAAATGAAACTTCTTCTTCCTCCTTCTCCTCCTCTTTCTTCCTTTCCCATCTCATTATTCTTCACCTGGACCTGCATTATCTGTTCATGCAAGATCCAAGTAACTCACAAGCAAGGTATGCCCATTGCCCGCCCCTCTCTCTCTCTCTCAACATGCACACCCTGCGCACATTGTAAGCTTGTAGGTACATAATCATATGGCCTAAATGGATTATTAGTATCTGGTGATATTGTAGTTGGAAGGTAATTCATGTGATTAAAAAATTAGAATTTAAGCTCATATAATAAAATTTGTTAGAATTTATGCCCAAATTTGAAATTTTTATCGACTTTCCGTTGATTATTAGCACATGAGCCATACATATTAGGCTAAAACGAAACTCTCCATTAATTGTTAGCACGTGAGACTCATATGTGAGATTTAGTCTCACATGTAAGTCTCACGTGCTAACAATTAATGGAGAGTTAAGGAAAATTTCAATTTTGGTTTAAAATCTTAACAGATTTCACCACAAGGAGTTTAAATTCTTCTTATTATTATTATTTTTATCACAAAGGCTATCTTCCAATTATTTTATCACCGCAAGAACTATTAATCTAATTAAGCCTAATCATATTTACATGAATGTTATGGCACAATTAATTTGAGTCCTGCATGCTTCTTCAATGTTGATTAAGTAATTGCTGCTTTTTATATAATTTTTATATATATTGAGTTTAATATTTACTATATACAAATGGTTAGAGTGTTATGCTAGTCTACTAAAGAGAACGGAGAATATAATTTTGGAATGCTAATTCATGTCTATTGACAAAGTTAATCATATATTTCAGGGGTTTTATGGTTTTCGGTCCATTTCATTAACATCACTTTGGGTCTTGTCCATCTAATCTACTTACAAAGATGCGGTCCAACTCAATTAAAAATTCTGCCACATAGACTATTTACATCCAACAGGATCTTCTCGGGATCCTTTTGGTGAGAATTCTGGAGATCAATGAATCGTGTCCGTTTATCGTACATAGTTTTTGTCAAATACTGTTTATATTTAATTTTAAATAAAAATATTTGAAATAATTTCTGACCGCATGATATACGATAAACGAACATGATTGACGAATCTCCGAGATTCTCACAAAGAGGATCCGGCGATGATTCAGATTCAGCTATGATATTTTGAAAGGGTAATGCTAGGACTGTCAAAATTTTAAATCAAATGATGTGACTGTTAATGATTTGATTATTATTTAAGTGTTGATTAACGTGCTTATTTTATATTGCTGACATATTATTTAATTTACAAATTTAGTTTAAAATTTTGATCTCCCTAACATTACTCATTTTGAAATACTACCCCATAAGCCACTGATTCTAAATGGTAGACTACTCGCTTCATCCTTAAATCCAAGCCACCTATCATTCCTATCTCCAACGTTATTATTACTTGATAAGTAATGTTACGGAGACTGCATAAGTATACTATATTGATTAACCATATAATGTGATAAGAGATTCATACAGTTGATATTTAATCGGATAAACTCATTAATTGATACGATATGCATACATTATTTGACGCATCAGATAATACATCAATATGGTACAAACATGTAGTATACCCGCATAAGTATACTATATTGATTAACCATCTAATGTGATAAAAAAATTATTGATATTTTGTGTAAAAATGTAGTTTTTCGTTAAAGTAAATAGCATCATAAGCTTTTCGTTAAAGTTCCTAATATCTTAGGGTATAAACGGCATCCAGGCTAAAAAATAAGGAAAACTAATGAAAATGGCTTAAAAACTTTGAGTTTTAACAATAAGGATAAAATAAAGGGTAAAATGAATAGTACTAGGATTGACTTTTTAATGTAAAAATGTGGTTTTTCGTTAAAGTGAACAGTACCGAAAATTTTTCGTTAAAGTTCCTAAGAAATAAGCTGACTCATAATAAAAAAAAAGAAATTTATTAAGTAGGTCCAAAAGTGAATGGACTTAAATTAATAAGATAAATATGTAGGATTAAACCTAATTATTAACTACGTAATTGATCTTATGTCTAATTATCTCTATGTTTTATGCATTCATAGATGTTTTCATTGTCTTTATCTCGTACCTATTGACACAACTAACATAATCTTATAATTTGCACTTCATCTCTATTTGATACGTATTTTTTTTAGTACATTGATATTTTTACACTAAAATGAATGGAGTTCGGTTAAGCCACACAATGGACAGCCTAATTTGGTATTGAATTCGCCATCCACAATATTCGAACCTAAGACCTCTAACTTCTAAATGAAGAGGAATATCACCAAACCGTAGTACTAAATGGCCTATCTTATACGTATTAATCAGACAATATAAATTGAGACGCTTCCTTTCATATTGACAAGTTTTTTTATTTGGTACATGTGAGATAGTTATCTTGGGGATATTACAGTTAATATAATGCATTTGTTTTTGAATATATAGGAATAAGCCTTGGTATCAAAGAGCAATGGAGATGGGCAGTTTGTGGAGAAGCATCAGCAATACTTCCAAGTCCACACAAGTTCCAGCATCAACTTCATCCACGCTATGGAAAACCATTGTTAATGTTAGGAGTGGGCACTTGGAACCGAAAACCGAAACCGAAACACGAAACAAACCAAGCACGCCTAATGTCCAAAGTGGTGGCAGTAGTACTGCTACTGGAACAAACAATCACACTTTTTCTGCAGCTTCCAGTTCGAGTTCGAGTTCGAGTTCCAGTAACAATAATATTAGACATGCCAACAAACTGCGAAAATGTACCTCTCTAAAGGTTGCCACTTCATTTACAAGGGTGTGCCTTTGTGCACCAATATCTTCCTACAATGAGGTTTTCAGAGCCGAGCTTCCCCCAAGAAGAAGCAATAGTTACCCGAGAACGCGATCGTATTCCAAGCCACTTGGTACAACTAGTAGCAGTACTACTGCACAAGCACCACAACAAGCAATGAGCGCAAGACGACTTAGTACCGACCAAGGAATCAGAAGAGTGTTTCGAGGAAAGTCATTGACCGACGACGTGTTGATGAGAAGGTTTGTTGTAGAAGAAGAGGCAATGATGCAAGTTAGAAGGAGAAATCAAATGGAAGTCATAAGGAGGAGAAGTGTGATGAGGAGGAAGAGGCTTGGCCCCAGTCCTCTTAGTAGAATGGTTATGGCTCAGGTTCAGGAGGAGGATTAAAACATTTTCAACTTTCCCCTCATTGTCTTTTTTCTCTTAATTATTATTTGTGGTCAAAGGGAGAACTGCCACACTCTCTTTCTCTAACACATCTTTTTCAAGAATTATGATCTGAAGAACTTCAACTTGTTTGACCATTGGTCTGGAATTCGTCACCTTGAAATCTAGAATTTTTTCGAGAACGGACTTTTTGGAGCCTGCATCCTCCGTTTTGTATTTCTTCTCCAATGACAACCATAGTTCTTTGGATGTCTTGCAGGATGCATACACATTGTGAAGAGTATCATCTAGTCTTTTAAAAATGTAATTTTTGCACAAAAAATTCACTATGAGTCGAAGCATCAATGGCACTTATAGTGTCATTGTCAGGGTTTTTTTTTGGTCAAAAATGAGACTCTTCCTTCACAACATGTGCAAGATTTAATGTTGTTATTAGGGCTGGGTTCGGTTTGAAACGGTTCGGTTTTTTGCTAAAATCGAAACCAAACCGAAATTTCGGTTCGGTTCGGTCCGATTTTTTTTCGGTTCGGTTTCGGTTTTTTTTCGGTTTTTTCATGATTTTTTTTTTTAATATCTGGAGCTTGAAGCACATTTATTTTCGGCATTCGGCTGCAAATTTACCCTTTCTCTCCATTAACCCTCGTCGAAACAGTAACAATTTGAGGCATGCAACAACTGTTTCTTGTTCCTGTGATCTGAGGAGGAAAAGGATTTCATCCACCCAACTTCAGTGCCCACTGCAAAACGAAAAGATTAAAACTTTAGTCATAAAAAATTCACCGAAAAATATAAAGATTACAAAAATAATTGGAAACATTACCCAGAAAAAAATTGAACTTCAAACGGAATTTAAAAATCAACAATGACAAAAAAAAAATCATCAAAAACAAACAAAAAAGGTCAATTGAGAAAGGAGTATGCAAAAATGAAGAAAAGAATTGCGAAAAAAGGGGATAAGCAAATAATGATATCAAGGGAGAAAAAAAGAAAGGGAAAGAAATGGGTGAGACTCTCACAACACAAAAATCAAACAAATCTACAATACAAAACAAAACAACAACCCATAAATTTACACCAAAATTTCAGATTCCCTCCATGGAATTTACTCTAAAAAAACCCATAAATCGACAAAATAAATAAGAGAGATCGGAGATCTTACCCTGGAGTGAGAAGATCGAGAAACGGAGAGAGAAGAATGGAGAAGAATGGAGAAATTGGAGGCATGGACAAGGAGGGAGTTTGGAGGCGCAGGGACGAGAGAGAGAAGAAGGGAATGAAAAAAGAAAAGGTATGGCTGCTACTACTAGTGGCTAGGGTTTTGTTGATTTCTAATTGCACAAAAGGCTATAGATTTATATATTTATAAATAGTTTAGTTATACAACTATAACAAAACAAAACCAGTTGCCATGTTGGTTTCGTTGAAACCTCTAAATTGGAGCGCACGGGTTCAAACCCACATGCCTTCAGAACTTTAGAGATTTTTTAATTTTTATAATTAAAATATTATAAAAAAAATAATTAAATATATATTCGATTCGGTTTGGTTCGGCTCGGTTTCCGAACCTTAAAAATCGAAACCGAACCAGCCATATTCGGTTCGGTTCGGTTTGACAGTTTTCGGTTCGGTTTTTTTCGATCTCGGTTCGGTTTGGTTCTCGATTTTTTTCGGTTTTCGGTTTTTTGAACCCACCCCTAGTTGTTATGTAGGACAACATCTTTTGCTTTGCCAACTTTAGAAGTCTCATCCCTTACAATTTTGCGGCTTTTTGGTACGAGGGTTCTTGGTGCTACTTGTTAGACATATTTTCAAAGAGTAATACTAGGGAGACTAAATTTGTAACCTAAATGTTGGAAACTAAAAGACATGGAAGTTGATGATTGGTTTATTACTTAAGTGTTGATAAACGTGATCATTTTTATTAGTGACACATAATTTAGTTTGCAAATTTAGTCTTTCTAGCATTACCGATTCTAAAATCACAAGAACAGACATTATGATCACTAATATAATGAATGAATCAATATAAAATAGAGATGAACTAATTATATTGATCTTACCTGTAGAATACGGAAAACATGGCTCTTCCGGATGATAGAGGAATCGGCGTATGCATAAGAATGTCTTCTACCCTCTCCAAACTATATGTTTTTGCTATGAATAGGGTTTAACACATAATGGAACAATTATTGTGAGAGCAAACACAATCTTTATATAGTTGCTAAGATATTTTTCAATCATGTCTATTATTAAATGAGAAATACTCATATTCACAATTATATATTTTATATCCCACCATAATAAGCCTTTACTAAATAGGGATCACGTAATAGGTTAATCAGAAGTTAAGACTTTATTACTCTAACCATATTTGGCCATAAGATCACTTCGACAATCAAGTCACCTAAATATTAAGTTACTCGAGAATCAAGTGATTGATTTACAAAGATATTGACACTCATAATTATTCTTACACCACTCATAATGACTAACTGCTCCATAACATATTTTCTGTGTATAAGATTGTTGGAATGAGAAATGTTAAGAAGACTTTCTCAAAAGTGGACTCTCTTTGAACTCTCTACCACCTCATATTATTGACACAATTCTTGTCCCAACATTAAAAAATATTGTGCCAAAATATGAAGTGTCGGAGAGTCCATAGTCCCGTTTTGAGACTCTTTATCATTTCTCTTGTTGGAACAGAGATATATACTTTTCTTGATAACAGTAATTAGAATACGAAAAAAAATATTAATAAGGACAAAACAAATAAATATAATATGAAAATAGAAAGAGAAATTCACTAGCAATTGCAAATAAATATAATATGAAATAGAAACATAAATTTATTCTGGTGCGGGTTCGATTTCTACCAAGTCTTTTTCTCCTAACAGATAACTGTTTAACCCACTAACGTTATTGTTACCCTAAACCCCATTTTTCCTATGGACACACTTCCTGTTAAGCCTTGTTATAACTCAACATTCAGCAAGATATTGCATGTTTTGAGCCCAGTTGGCCGGCATGATTTGTGTTTTGGGATTTTTAAACCCAAAATGCGTCATGGTGTGGTTACGCATAGCCTGCATATTCATGGCTCCAAGCGTCCAAGGTTTTTGTTTGAGACAACTCCGGTGTCTTCCTTGGTGGTACATAACACAAGACAACACTCTCACCTTTTTAAATTGATGAAGACGCATGACTTGTAATGATAAATTGATGAAGACAAAGCTCCATTTTGGACTCTGTCTTTTGTTTTTAGTAATGATAAATGTAATTGAATTACTTAGTGGGTTAGGATCGAGTATACATTTTTTTTAATAAACGATATTATCTAGCTAAATGGTGTGAAAGTGAGGTAAGTCTTACAATAGGCTAGCAATAATATGGTTTAAATTCGTCTTTGACAAAAATCGAACTTAAAACATTTCACTTACAAGTGAAGAATAACACCACTAGACCGTAGTACTAAGTGGCAGATCTGGTATACTAATTTTTTATACACATTTTGACATATATTTCATAATGTATCTTAACGATCCGAACTGTTTATATTGTAGCATCATTAATAGATCATCTTTACAAAAAAATTAGAAAATTTTAAAATCATTAAGACATTTTTTTTTGTAATTTAAAAACGGACACATATAGTCTACAAAGAAATACTAAAAAGAAAGGTTTTTTTTATCCAAAATTGTCAATGAGATTTGAAATCGAAATAAGTGGTCCCTGAGTTTGTCCACCATCAATCGTTTTGGTTCTTGTGTGAAAATATCTATTAAATAAGGACCAAAATGATAAAAATCACTCAATTTAATAAACAATTGGCCAAAATGATTTGACAAAAAATTGAAGGTATTTTTGTTATTTTCTCCTTATTTAACGAAAATTTTTCATAGAATGATAAAAATGATTGATTGTTAACAAACTTAATGCTAATTCTATCAATTTTAAATTTCAGAGACCAAAATAAGGAATTATGCCAATCTCTCTGATCATTTTGGCTAAAACCAAAAAGAAATACTATTTTTCTTTCTTGATCTTTTAGGTCGCCTAAGGTATCTAAAAGGTTAATTCCGAAAGAAAAAAAAAAGTATCTAAAAGGCGATAAGGTTTGGTTGAACAACGTAGTTGACCTAACAAAACTAATATCCATAATTAGGAAAATCTTTTGACTATTTATTATTTAAGAGGAATAAATTAATTAAACATTGTGGCATCTCTCTTGTCCGTGATATGCATTATCATATTGTCACGCACGTTATGTGGACTAGTAGCATTTAATATTGTCACAAAGTAATATTTAGTATATATACCAACGAAATTGGATCCTCTCCGAGGCAACCCCTCGGGATCCTTCTGATCGGTGTTAGTGGACCGTTGAATTTTTATCCAACGGCTACAAACAGGGGATCATCTAAAAGTTAGAATAATTGTATTCGTTGGATAAAAATCCAACGGCCCACTAACCCCTATCAGGAGGATCCCGAGGATTTGTCTCGGAGAGGATCCAATTCCTATACCAACGACCCCTTCCATTCTTTTTTTGCCACTTAATTTTAATTATATGTATTGTCAATTCCATCCCATACTCCTTTTTTTATTTACCAAAGATAGCTCTAATGAGTTAAGACGGTCAGCTGGGAAATGTTTTTAATATGATTGAAATCGTTTTTGATAAAATTTTGAAACCAATTTTTAGTGAAAATTTAAGTGGATCTCGAAAAAACACTTTAAATGTTTCTTGCAAGAATCAAATATTTGATGTTTCTTCCAAAAAACATCTAACATGTCTTTGGAAGCTAAAAATCAATTCAATCAAAAGAGTTTTTAATCATTTTAAAAGTGCTTCAAAACGAGCTCTTAGTTGTTAGTAAGGAGGGGAATTAATGGGAGTCATACTTGCATCATGATGAATAGATATAATTGTTTTCTGTTATTGTGATAAAACGTCATATGTATCACCGTATTCCATTATCATTAAAGACAAAAAATATTTGAAATTGAACAAAAATCTTTTTAATATAACCAACTTTCAACACACGGGTCATCTTTGTAGCATAGTTTGGGAAGTGTGCGTGGAAATTTGGATCGTAGAGTAAAAGTAATGGAAAAGAGAAGATAATTGTGATGAAGGGTCGACTTTCATCTCCTATACTGCAACCCAATTTATGGCTACATTTTTTTTTGGTTTACTTGGGTTTGTTTGTTTGAATTAAGGGTTGCTATTCACACTTTTATTTTTACATTCCATATACTTTGTTAATTTTTGTTCATTAATTTTGTTCAATTCATTTGATGGGATATCTGAAAATTTATAATGATATGTGAAAAGTAAAATTGGATGTGTGGATATCACCACTCTTGAATTAAATAGTAAACTAGCCAAACTCTCTCACATCTATAGCTTTTATAGAAAAAGCAATTAGCAACGATATTTGGATTTTAGCCCAATTTGAGGTTTAAGTGATGAACTAAAAATATGAGTATGGAGCAATGATCCTATTCAATAACATCATTAAATATTTCTTCCAAAGTAAAGGGTTTAACGAGGCAAAAAAAGTGATGAAAGTTCCAATGTTGTTACCAAAAGGATCACTGCTCCACATTGTAATAAATTCACGAACCAATGCTCATGAATTTTTAATTTAAGAACCAAAACTCTAAGTATGCTAAAGTTAGGAAGTCATTGCCCCAATTATCATATCAATTTTCGTTAATATGATAAGAATATTTTGCTCAAGTATTGAGTTTGACACTTATTTCCATTGAAATGTCAAGTTATCAAGAGCTTATATGTTAAAAATTTAAGAATTAATCAAGAAATGTAATTTTTTTTAAAAAAAATCACGAAACGACTTAATAAAATGCCTCTAAATTTTGTCAAATGATAGGTGTAACATCCCACATCGCCCAGGGGAATAGATCTTGTAAGCCTTAAATGTATATTCTCATCTCTACCTAGTACGAGGCATTTTGGGAGCTCACTGGCTTCGGGTTCTGTCGGAACTTCGAAGTTAAGCGAGTTCGCGCAAGAGCAATCCCAAGATGGGTGACCCACTTTGAAGTTTTCATGTGAGTTCCCAAAAATAAAATCGTGAGGGCGTGGTCGGGGCCCAAAGCGGACAATATCGTGCTACGGCAGAGTTGAGCCCGGGATGTGGTGGGGGCCTGGGTCGGGATGTGACAATTTGGTATCAGAGACAATCCCTGGCCAGAGGTGTGTCGACGAGGACGTCGGGCCCCTAAGGGGGGTGGATTGTAACATCCCACATT